AACCATGCTTTTGCGCCCTCAAAAGACTACCTTTTACTCTGGGGGACCCTTTACCGGTTACAATGTTTCACCGCGGGGGAACGAATAAAGTTTTTCCCTTTCCTTAGAAATGCATCGCTTTGGTTTCTGTGAATAATAATTAGGAAATCTGTAAATACATAAAAAGTTATGTTTTTTTTTTTATAAAGTGTTGGCGTTGGATTAGAATCGGGGCCTTATTCCTTTCCGTATGCACCCCCTCTATCGCGAATAACTCGGTTAAACATACCAGAGCAGCAGGACTTCATAATCCCTGCTTGGCCACGATATTATCCAATGCCCCGGACTGTTGCCTGTCCGGCGATGTTATTTGCCGCATTGCAGCTTTTCCTCTACGCCAAATGGCGGCTCGTTTGGCGCGCATGTTGGTGTACGACCCCTCCAGCCTGTGCTGCTGGCCGGTGCTGGCCGGGGTGCGGCGCTGTGCGGTGGTGTGCGCCTCCCGCTGCTGCAGCCCGCCGGGGCCCCCCTAATTGAGTATACTGCTGGCCAAAACCTTTTGTTCGAGATGTTGTCTCTGCCGCTGCAAGGCTGCAGGCTGCAGCGCCGCGCCGCGCCGCGCCCTGCGGCGGGACGCGGGGGACGGGGCAATATCTTTGTACCTTTCTCTCCCCGCCATACCTTTGCGCCCCTGCACGGGCTTGCCCGTACATACCTACCTGCTCCTGCCGTTTGAGGAAGCGATTGTGCCCGGTCCAGCAGGGCCCAGCGTCGCCCAGCGCCGCCCAGCAGCGCCCGCCGCCATACGGCGCCGTCCGTCTCTCTGCCTCGCTCCCGCGCCGGCCGCCGTCCCTTCTCGTAATGAGGAAGAAAAGGGTGGACAGAGAGGCCCGGACACATGCAGAACAGGAAGCAGTAGTGTTGCAAGAGGGCGGTCCATCAAACGCAACGGCCGCGGCGGCGCGGGCCGGCGGCGCCCTCCACACACAAGTCACTATTATACTTCTATCGGCCGAACAGGAACATTTCTCATCTTCCCATTTTCGGGCCGGACGTTTCTTTTGAAAAATAAATAATTCCGGTCAAGCTTTTGGGGGCATCACTCTTCTAGTTCTGTATCGGGGCGGGCGAGAGTGCACGGGCCCGGGCCGGTCTGTTGTTGTTGTTGCGACCGGCCGGCCCGAGGCGGGCCGGGTGGTGAGGTTAGGTCCGGTCGGACACTGTGCGTCGGGTTGCGTAAGGCGCCGAGGGCCGAGAGGGCCGCCCCGAACCCGGCCCAGCCAAAAGACGCATTAACCCGATTTCCGTCGATTCGGACGGAAAAAGGTGCACCACACACACAACAAGAGCAAGGAGACCGGCGCAGAGCAGATTTCTAATCGCTTGTTTGTTATGTCATGATGCGGGGTCCGACCGGGCGCTGCACCGGGTGCATCCAAGGGCAAGGCGGGCGGGAGGTGCACGATGTGTGTCAGTCGGTCAAAGTGTAACGGCGGGAGCGCATCACCCGATGTGTGACATCTTCGTGCGTTGGATTGAAGGCCCATCATTATTCTTTTCTCAAAAGCCCCAAATCATCGTGTAATGAATTGGTAAATCTTGACCCTGCTATGTCATAGGGGTAGGGGTGACGTTCTCCTGCAGACACAAAAATTGTCTTCGATCTTCGGAGTGGGACTGCGCTCCCTGCTCCTCGGGGCTCACTCACATGAGTCGGTCTAGCAGTGATCGCCCCGGCCAGGTGCAGATGGGCGCGCACCGGTGGAAAGCAGTCGTCCCACCGCCCCGGTATCGAAGCTCATGAAAGTCCTCCGGTACTGTCAATAAGAGACGCGAGCCGAGCCATATGCAGGGATCGGGTGTCGGGAGCCTGAGTTGCCTCTCCGCCGCTGCACCCTTCTACCCCCCTCGTGTGTGACTGACGTCAGGTAACAGGGCGGGATAGATGAGGTCAAGATAGGACACGCAACTCGGGCACACCCATGCGGCAGCAGCCCTCGCCTATCAGTGCCCGCCGTTCTAATTTGGACAGGCCGCTGAGCGACAGGACTTTCCCATCCGGCGCGGCCGAACACATGTCATGGTTTGAAAATCCTTTGCGCTGCTGCTGCTGCTGCTGCCGCTGCTATGCAGTTGTTGGTTGGCCCGGGCCTCCCCGCGAGAGAGTTTAGAATGGGTTTTATGTATCTGACTTGGTGCTAGATTTTTTAAGCTGCTCCATAATGAATACAAAAGACATTGGCATTTATTTTCGAAGTTGGTGAATTCTTGTGTCAGGTTTGTGAACGTTAGGGGTCGTTCAAATACTACGTCGTGCCTTGTAGGGGGGTTTAAATATTACGGGGTCCTGTGGGATTTAGTGATGGTCCTGATCCTTTTGGAACCTCATAATATTTGTATACCCCGGTGTACAAATCTCATGGGGTCTCTATGGACACCATTATATGTTGATGTTCCTGATCTGGACCCCATAATATCTGTACCACTCCAAAAGGCAACTAGTGTTTAAACAACCCCTTAAGTTCCACGTTTGACTGCAAATACACCATGCGTCGCCATGCGAGATCATTGCTTTTGCATTCCTAGGTTAACATCACTCGAAGCGGCAGCACGCCGCTGTTCCCGACGCCGCGCCGGTAGTTGTTAATAACCCCTCCTCTAGCTGCAGCACGAGCAGCACCCTCTTGTTCCAGAGGCGGATCTTCACAGCTGGAGAGCCGCCATCCCATTGCGGACCCGAAGACAAATAGCAATCAATCACGCTTTGTTACCGACACTGAAAGGTGCATTTCGCCCGTGCGCCCAACACAAACATGCATACCGAGTGTATTTTAAGTGTATCAAAACTTTTACGGAATGAGCTTGACATGAGGCGCTATTATAACTAACTACTTGCTTCGACTAAATAAAACACAAACTCAGACTTTTTATTTTATTTTCGAGCGTCGGTAGATGTTAGTCATTTTTTCCCCCTTAAAAGCCTATGCATCCCACTTTTTGCAATTCTGGTGTCCTGCAGTCCGTGTCCCCGGGACGTTATTTTTTTTTCTCGCACTGACTTCCTCTCCTCTCCCGCCTTTCACTCTCCTCCCGCCGGCCTGCTGCTGCTGCAGGCGACGCACCGCCCGCCTCCTGCACCAACACACACACACACACTCGCCTCGCCTCCTCGCCCCAGGGCATGACCTCTCTCGGCCTGTAGTGCAGGTGATGTTTGGGAGGTGCCCGGGCCCGGCCAGGGCCACCGCTAGCTGCACGCCGCACACCGGCCAGGCCCAGCCTGCTTTCGCTGTGTTCTTCCCGCTCCTGATCTTGCCCCCACGCGGCCCACCGCTTCTGCTGTGCACTTATTTCATTTACTTTCGAGGAAATCATTACACTTATTTTCGGGGTTGCATAGTAGTAGTTATCAACGTTTGACAAATGCACCCAGTCGCGCAGATTATTACTTGAGAGGGAGGTGGGAGCGTTTGCCTCACCGCAGAAAACATTTTGACAACTGTCAACAAACAATCAAACAAACAATCGAACAAACAATCGAACGAACGAACAAACAAACAAACAAACCAGCAGCACTAATAAACTGATCAGATCAATGTCGCCAAAAATTATTTCGGGCAGCTGGAATGATGCATCAAAAACAGAAGGGTTCTGGGAGGCTGGGCTGCTGGACCACGTCCCTACCGAAACGAAACTGTGGGGGGCGCAGCAGTGGCGTGGGAGAGAGGGAGAGGGGATAGGGGGAGCTGGAGCAGGGAGCGGGCGCCTCGCCGGTGACCGCCTCCAGTCGGCAGAGCCAGTCCGCCTGCGGTCCCCACGGTGCACGGACGTACAGCGGTGGTCCCGCGCGCGCGTGTTGGAGTGTGTGTTTGTGAGAGCGAGCGAGCGCGAGAGTGCGTCCGCGAGTGAGTGCGAGGGAGATGCAAGTCGACGGGTAGTGAGTGCGAGCGCCGACTCCCCCAGTGCGTGTGTGCATGTGTGTGCGTCAAGTGGTGAATAGTTATTATTACATCCATTGGTAAAGGGACGTCGTCGTCCCTGCCGTAACGACTATGTTTGAGTGCAAGGTGAGTCTAGAAAGGAGGAGGAGGAGCATAGCCGACGAGTTTATATTGTAAATAGAGTGCTCCTGTAACTCTTCGGAAGTTTGGAGTCACCAGACATTCAAGACGCCGTGTCAGGAATGTGTCAAAAATGTAAAGGAATATATTGCTTCAGTTGCTTCCCAACAGATTAGACTTTTAATGTGAGGATTCCTGAACCTAATTCTTTGCTGATTCAAATTATGTTTGTTGTACTCTTCACACTAAACTTGCTTTTACTCCAGAAATACGGGTGCTTCTTTGAATGTTTAAATAATGATGCTAATTTTTCCAAACCGAAACCACTACCGGTTTTATGGACGAAACGCAGGAAATGCTTAGTTTTGTTTTGCTCTGTCACAATACTCTTCAATCACATAAAATGAGCCAGACTGCGGTTAGCAGCTCTTTGGAAAAATGCCAGTTTTTCGCACTTTTTGTTTGGTAAAGAAAGTCGCGACTTTGAAGAGTTTGAAACTTGCCCTCTCCGCGCGCCGCAAGACGCACGCACCTTCCCCAGGGAACTCGCTTGCGGTGGATCCGTGCGTGCCCTTCCCATCGTATTACTTATCGCCGCATTGTGGCTCGGCTCGGCGCGGCGCGTGGCATGGGATCCCAACGACGTGTCAAAACGGCCCCGCGCAACTCGGCCGCGCCGCCCGCGGAGATACGCGGGTCCGCCGCGCTTTCATTACGAAGCGCGTTATTCGCGTTATTCAGCCGCGTTACGATCGGCGCCGCGCGCCTCATTTGTGTCTGCACGTACGACGCAGTCCTCTTCGCAAAGATGTTATTGTTGTTGTTGCATAATCATTGTTCCAACAACTAACTGTTTGTTTTTCCGACTGCAGGGGACCTTTTTTTTTGCAAGGCAGTTCATAATGTGTGGGGCGCACTTACTTGCTTTGCACGGGGGGTACATTTTATCGACTGACTTCAAATTGTATTTTGGATCTTTATTCTGTATGACTTAGACTTCGCCGGCAGGACAGTCGCAGGCAAGCGTTGTTAAAGCCACATGCAGCGGAAGTGTAGAACGGTGGGTGGCCCACGCCGTCGGAGCCCATCCTATATTGCAGCCCGCATGGTTGCCAATATGACGATAGGCGAACAAGTCCGAACCGCACGGCGTATACCCAGTATACCCAATCGCGCCCACCCAGCAGTGTCAGTGACATTGAGTGTCACATGCGCAAACAAAAAAGGGAGACAAAATTGTGGAAAAAAATATTGCTGTAGTTGTCAAACATTGTTTCATTTCCATGACACTTTCCTGTGTGAAATTTTGACATGAATATTCAAATAAGTATAGGGGGATGGGGATGACAATTTTATTCGTGAATTGATAAAACCTTGCTAACTTGCTGTCTCGCGGTGTAAAGAAGTGCCGCAGCCGTACAACCGTGAGTGCTAGTGTGAGTTAGCGATTGTTTCTGGAGCAAACGGCCATCCGACTCAGAATGCATAAAAACATTGATAAGAACGAGGATAACTAGATTCGAAAGTTACGTGAGACTGCTTTTTGTTGTTTCCGGCAGGTCGGTGCAGTGGCGCCCACATCCACCACAATCCCCCTCATTCGTTTACCCTCCTATTCACAGTTCGCTGCCCTGAGTAATATTTATTCAAGTAAAGAAAAAACGTCTTCTTTCTTATGGACAGGCGAATTGTTCCTGTAATTAGCGCAGCTGATTTTTTTTCTGGTTCGGCCAGCACCTTATTTCCACCGTGGCAAAACTACTTATGTATTTTAGCACTGCAAACACACTACTTCTTTACGGCGCGTATTTTTTTCTCTCCTCGAGCGACTTTGTTATTGTCGATTTTTCTCCCTCCTACCACATCGACCGTAGAATCACATCATTGTTATTGTAACATCGCTCCTCAGTTTCCGCTTTTCAAATTTTTCGCTAACCACATTTTATAGATTCACGCTCTTGCCGTTTATAATGCAAGTACATAGAGTCCCTCGCCGGCTGTTGCGCAAGCGGTCGCTTCGATTAATAATGACAATAATTTAAGCAAGCAGCGGCCGCCTCTCTGTTTTATCGGCCGCCGGGCCGCGCTAACGGCGCCGCGCGTAACCGAGCGGCGGCCGTAAACCGTACGGCGGGTCAGGGAGGCGGGCAAAGGGAAGCGAGCGGGCAAGGGGAGCGCCATCGCCATCATTCCATATTTTACTATTTTTCGCAAGATGCAAGTAAAAAAAAAAAAATATATATTGCAGCATCTTCCTAGAGTCTTTTTTTTCTTCTTTTTTTTGAAGGGATTCCGCCTCACACTGTGATATTACGCAACGGCGTGTTGTCCGCCGCGCGCGGGGGCTGCGGGGCTGCGTGTGAGTGCTCTCGAAGGGTGCCCAATGACGGGTGTAAGATATGAAACGGGCCGACCCACTTGTATTCGGATGCCCCCGCTGAAATGAGTTTGATGCTGCCAGAGTGGCACGACCGTCATCTGTACTTGTCAATGGTCGGACCATGTCTTGCCCGACGAGGTTGCATCACAACCTCCCCACCCCCTTTTATTTTCCCCTCCCACCGACCCTTCTCTCAGTAAAGTAAAACACATACATGTGACGAAGAGAACATACCGCTCGCACCTGCCAGATCCTGCTCGTGCAGGTGCATGCTGCCACCATAAACGGGATAAGGCGGCTCTGTTAACACGGCCTGAGCGCCTTTTACGACCCCGGCGTTAAGTGACCCGAGTGTCATCCGCTGTTGCCACCGGCGCCCCGGGGGGATTACCTTGTGTGTCCATTCAAGTTGAGCAAGTGAAACGGCCAGAGAGTTTGTCGGATGAAATTTCCTGTACTTAATCACCTACTATCATAATCTTTAATTATTTTTTGATGTCCTCTTTGCACACCCATACAAATGGTGTTCTTGTTTTTAGTACATTTTCTGCGTACTTGATTTCAACGATGCAAGTGCAAAACATAAATGATGTACATGATAAATGCCCTAAGACAATTTTTGTGAGTGCACTGTTTACTCGTGATAAAATGAAAATATCAGTCGGGGACTTATAATGCGCTCTGCTCTGCAAACAAAAAATAAATTACTTGAAAGTAGATACTTGTGGGTGTTTCGTTTGGTGAATGGAGGTGCCCGCACCAACCTCTGCGGCCCCTCCTACGCTGCGGGTCGGGTCGGGCCCACGCCCGTTTGGACTTCCCTGCTGCCCCTAGTAAATTGAGCTGTCATATATGTTTCCCTGGAAAAGCAACTCACGTGTGACAGCTTTGAGTGGTTTGAATTTTTTTTTGCGCGCGTCGCACAGAATTAGTTTTCTCTTGCAGAGAAACCTGTCCCGTTCGAGCGAGTAGTGACGCTGGAGCGAGCCGTACCGAGGAGCAGCTGAGGAAAGGACGCACGTGCGTTTGAGTGTGTGTATGTGTGTGTGTGTGTGTGTGTGTGTGAGCGAGCGTGCCGCGCACGTGCGTGTGTCTTGCGAGCGTGAATCAATTAATTTAGATCACTGCCCTCTGCGTCATACTGTAGACAAATCTTTAAAATACTGAAACTATTTGAACCTGGCCGCAGCCAAACAGTAATTTAAAAACAAAAAACAAAAAAAAAGCACACGAAAAAAAAAACACATTCTAAATCTTTCAAGTTCAATTTACTTTTTGTTTATTCGTTTGGTGGGCACATGGCCATATGCCTCTTCCTGCCACCTGCGTTGAGGTCTCCGGCCCGATGCCCGATGTACTCTACCGGTAAAAGTGCGTGATGTCTGATGTCTCATGAAAGTGTGTGACAAAACGGAAAAGTTGGTGACAACCATATCATGTGTCCCGCCCACAGGTCTCTGTGACGCCGATGTCACACCCTTATTTTTATTTTATTTTCTTGAAAAAAATTATTTTATATTTTTTTAAAAAAATCAAATAATGTGATCAAAAATGTCTGTAGTCAATGTTTCTTTATGTCATGATTGTTACGCACTTTAAGGCGTTGGAACGCCCCGTCACACGCCTGGGAGGGTCGCGGTGGTGAAAGGAGGCGGGGGCGGCGAGGAGGCTGCCGACTGACTGCAGCCGCCGCCATGAAAGTTTCCTCCCGACGATTTTCACGATCTATCGGGCGGGCAAACGGACGGCGCGCTCGACAAACCTCCAAACGCAGCGGAGCAGACCGGACCGCAGCCGCCGATCCACCGCGCCGATCCACCTTTGTTTAGTCGGGATGCGAATCCCCGAATCGCGCCCTGGGATCTCCCTCTTGCCGTTTCTGTTTGCGAGTCTCCCCCCCCCCCCCCTCTCCGGCCGCCCCTCCTCTCTCTCTGTGGAAGGATGAAGGGCAGGCGGCCGATACCGACCAACGCGTTGGTGCGGAACTCCCTTCAGGGTGAGAGGCTTGGAGCGTCGCCCACCAACGGACCCTTCCCCTTTACCTGCTCTCGCCCTCTCACTCTCTCCCACCGGCTCACACATCTCACACATCCTCCCTCACACGTTTTCCGCTCCTGTGAGGAGCACCTGTGACGTCACACCTAAACAACTGGGAGTCATGTGTCACGTCACATTGGTTAGTACTGCGTCACATCGTTATAACGTGGCATCTACGCGGGTCTGAAAAGTACAGCCTGTGAGGGCAGATAATGTGAAGATAAGTCACGTATTCCTAATGTGCGCTAAAACAATAAATAGCACCTTTAGAGGTACTACATCGCTCATTTGTGTTCCGCGCAGTGTACACCGATCATTGACGCCTTCTCTTTCCCGTGGGATGAAACGCTGCAGGAGATGAAAAGGTATAAAATGTAAGTTTAGGTGGCCAGTAGCAGGCAGTTCGACACAGGAGAGATAAATCGAGTCATAACTGTCTGCACGCGACGGTCGTTGGCCCCTCGCCTAGCCTAGCCGTCATATCGCCTCCACTGCACTGTCAATATTTTATTGCTAGCTCACAACAGTAAAATAACACTGCTTCTTATTCAACAAACCTTTTCTTCACAGTGTGGGTTGATATCAACGGTCCGAGCTCAGCTGCAGAACGTTTAGAAGATCCGCCTTTTAAAAACGCCTTCTCGACCTGCCGTCTGTTTCTGCTTTTCCTTGGAAGTTTCGACTGATGCTGATATCTCTGTAGCTCTCTCTCTCTCTCTCTCTCTCTCTCTCTCACACACACACACTCTCTCATTACATTCCCCATCCTACACACCAACACGTACACCGATGATGAGTTGGTTCCACTTGCAAAATCGTTCGTTTCACTTACCCGCCCCTCTCTCATCTGCCTACAGCTCCTCGTCTTACTCGCGGTGATATCGAGCTACGTGAGCCTGGCCAAACCGCCGCCCGGCTTCTCCCCGGAACGTGACAAGGTGAGTAGCTAGCCGCGCTCTTCTTATGGCGCCTCAACCGCAGACTTAAAGACTGTTATTCACAGACTGTTATTTTTTTCCCCCTGCGCTCTGCTTTGCCGCGTGGAAGGGAAGGGGGCTTTGCTCGCGCTCGAGAGAGGTAAATGTTGTGATGGGCCAATCTAGTGTGGTCGTTTCATAATTGCAGCGATGGCGCGCTTCTTTCGGAGCGGTATATGGTTGTTTGTAAAAGTGCGCTGCAACTCAAACCCTTCCCGCGTACTCCATGTGGCATGTGTGTGTTGCACTTGCGGGCGGGGGAAAGGGAGAATCATGGAGGGGG